AAACATTCGACATGTTTTCACAGAGAGTGCTGTTTTTCCTTCTCTTTCCTTCTGAGCTGTATTTTTCCCGCTTTCTAATCTAGCAGGCTAAAAGTTCAGAGTTGGTAGCAAGACACTAGGAAAAGAAAACCAAGTAATTCTTCGTATGTCAAGTATTTTCTTTTCTTCATGCCAAACACGCATTATAGTATAAATATAAGTCAATCTTTTGTATTAAACAAGTGCTACAGGAACTTTACAAGTTTCATGTCAATGTTGTGACTGATAAACTAGCAATGATAATAATTTGGATATATTACAGGAAATCACCTTATTGTAAACTCATAAACTGGCAGATGTACATTAATAGCATAATATAGTTTTATAATTTTTTTTCAATTTTTAATTTATAAATGTATGAACTCCTGAGAAACAGGACAGCCTTACTCTACACATACAAATTCTGGTGTGAATGATGTATTTCCCTAAATATGTATATTTGTATTTAAAAAATGTAACGTTTGGTAAAATTTACCCTAAACTTATATGTATTATCAGAAGTATGAAGCATCGCTTACTCTACCTATATGTTATCATGGGTTTTAAGTTGTTAAATTGTCAAATCTGACCTCAAATTAGACACCTGTTTGGTAGCGCCCAGTGGTGTCAGAGGGTCAGCTCAGCCTGCATTGCGCAGAGTCGTCATCGAGGGCACCGTGCACCTCCTGCGCGCCGTTTCAGGGCAGCGGAGACTGGAGCCAGGAGCGCCCCGCCTTCGTCAGGGTGGCTCAGCTGGGCTTGGGGGAGCCCCACTCCCCTCCCAAAGCAGATGAGCTGTGTGGCGTTTACCCCAACCCCTGTTGTTAAGATAGAACTCCTGCTGGGTCACTGCACTCCCTTTGGGGCCGCCTGGTCCATTCGCGCACGACCAGGCCCCCTTCAGCCCCACGTGGTTCATAAATGGCCAGTCCTTTGAAAGGCATGTGTGTGCCCTCAAAACAGGAGGAAACTCAGGCTCTTTTTTCTGGAATCTCCATGTATGAATTCAAAGGAGGCAGTCATCTTCAAGTGAGGAACAGGAATTCAGGAATCAATCTGGAAAGTACTACCGCTAATGACTCTGTTGGATGAGGTAGATTTCACCAGCAAGAAGTGTCACTTGCCGTCTTGTAGGTAGTTGCACCGACTGTAGCTTAGCTTTTAAATATTTGTATACCACCACAGAAGTGTGAGTCTGAATTTAAAGTTACCCAAAAATATTGCCATGGGGGTAAGGGCGGCAGCAGGAGGAGGCTATATGCTGATCTACAGGCTCTCATTACAGAAGCACAGCCACCCACTGGGGAGGTCATACTCAGAAGGGACAGAGAGCTTGTTTTTCCTGAAATTACATTAATGAGTAGCTTACTAGCATATAATGTAGATAGACTTCAGAAGTGAAGAATATTAACTGTAAGGGAGAGGTTTGATAGATATCAATCAGTTTTATCCCTTAAATTAATTGCTGTCATTTAAGCACTATTTGTAAATTGATTTTGTTATGAGGCCACATTAACTCTAGCGTTTTGGAAATTCAGAAGCACATCATGGGCTGCCTTGCATGTCATTTGGTTTTGCGTGTAGTTCCCTCCAGGACATTTGTTTCCACCACTGTTCTGCTTCTGTAAATCATTTTATCCACAAGGCTTTAAGATGCTTCCCCAGAATCCAGCCTGTCTGTGCTGTGGGTGGGATTTTCAGCATTCTGCTTACATTGCTATAAAATAAAATGTTGAAGAGAAAGCTTTAAGAAGTCCAACAGTTTGTTAAGAGAAAAGAATTGATTGGTACTTGGAAAGTTAACTTACAGAAGATGTATGTAAATCTCATAGAAGATTTATTTCATGTCTACCCAGGTTGGCCTGGGAAAGGCATGGTAAACCCAGAAAGACTGAATTTGTGATTTCTCCATCTTTTTGTGTAGTTTTACAGATTTCCCAGGTCATGAAACATAATGTACATTCCTCTGTATACATAAAAGTTAATGATACGATTGCCATTTTGCTGTCTTTATTCTTTGAAAGAGAATTTCATCAAAGCAAGAGGTTGGTTTCTGTTTTTGTTTTTTTCATGGTTTGGAAAAGCTTAAAATATTTGGAATCTTGACTATGTAAGAATGGGTTTAAAATAATTACTAATTGTTCCAATCCAGGCAAAGACATAATATTAAAGTTGTCAAAGTCAAGTGTCCTGCACAATGAGAAATTACAGCTGTCGTGGGATCCAGTCTTTCTTACATACCAAAGCTTTATATGTGTTGAATTCTAGTGGCTTGTGTTTTAGAGGAAATCCTGGACCTATAAAAATTAAAAATCAGAACTATTACATTTCTGTAAAATATAATTTGGAAAAAAATCCTTTAAAATAAGAAAAACCAGGTGTCTTTTTACTCTTAAAATGTTTCAATTGTATGAAGTTAGTAATCTGCTCATTTAATCTCATCCCCCTAAGGAAACTTCATTGTTATCATTTGGGTGCATAGTTATGTGAGAAGATATTGTTAACAAAATTTCTTGACTTTCTAGAACCTTATTCAGAAGAAGTAAAGGTAGCTTAATTAAAAGATTATATGTGAATTAAAGAACTATCAATAGTGAATCAGTGTATAAGAGCAGTTGTGCCCTTTCTGTCCATGTGTATACATGTTGATTTTTATAACCACACATAGGTTTCTGTGTATGTCAGATGTTTCATTCTGTGCTGTTCATTACAGTGGCCATAAGCCACATGTGGCAACTGAGCACTTGAAGTCTGGCTAGTCCAAATTGAAATGTGCTGTAAGTGTAAAATACATACTGGACTTCAAATACTTGTACAAAAGAAAGAATGTAAAATAACTCAATAATTTGTTATATTGATTGTATGTTAAAATAACTATATTTTACATACAGTGAATTAAATAAAAAATAACATTTACTTTCACATGTTTCTTTTTCCTTTTTTTAATGTGGATGCTAGAAAAATTATTAATTACATTATGAAGCTTGCATAGGTGACCCACGTTATAGTTCTGTTGAAATAACTTTCAACTATAACCTTGGATTTTTTTTATTTTCTTACATTTCATATGATGTTTTGCAACATCATCTTTGTCCTTTTTTTTTGGTCCCAGTACTGTGGTGCTTCAGAGTGCCTCTCCTTTGGTACTTATAATTCTCCTAGGAATTCAAATAGGCCTCAGTGAAAGCAATACTTGAGGCTCATTCATATGTTCAAGTCAGTTCATTATTCCTAATAATGGCTTTAAGTGCTTAGATATATCAGCACTTCTTGTCTTGAATTGCTTGTCATTTCTTTATAAAGATGTCTCAAGAAATTGCTCCATGTAATCCCTTCTTTCATTGTTTTCTAGCAAAACTAACATAATCCTTTATTAGTTTGTTGGAAATCAGAGGAGAAAAGCCTTTTATATTAGCAGAAACAAAATGTATTTCCAGGTACTGAGAATAAAGTGCAAAATTAGTCATGAGTGATAATCCTGCACAAGTTAATTTTTAAACAAATCTTGAATGCACTGGCAATCTGCCAATGGCTTTAACCTCTATTTTATTTTCCCATTATACTTGGGTCCAGGTTGTCATCAGCCACCACGAGGAAACCTATGTAATTCCTAGAGAGAGAAAAGTTGCACTGTGAGACTTAATAGTATGGTAGTCATGGAAGCACCAGTTATCTTCATCAAGGCAATTCAGATTTGATTATTGTAGAACTGTGTTGAATCCCAAACCAGTGGAGTAGTAGCTGGCGCTAAATCAAGGGATTGTCATTTTCGTCAGATGATTAGGGCTGACTTGGAAGAGATATGAAAGGGTTGAGCTGTGCAAATATTCTCTTTTCAGCAGAAAAAGAAAAGGTCCATCATGGCCATTAAGATGCAGCTTGTTAGCTTGATGAATTTCAAACTATTTAACCTTACCAATTATATACCCCTGCCTACATACAAGTATATCAGTGCTTTGGGATTTTGTCTCTGAGGATTGGTATCAATGCATATTGGTAATTTTCTATTAAAATAAAATGTAGCCTTTCTATTTCTAGAGAAATCTCTCCACAGACAGGGCATGTACTAGTTCCAAGTCCTAATTATTAACTGAAATTATATATTCAGGTAAACATTGGAACACATTTATTTATAAGTTTTTTTAACTTTTTAATTAAAAAATATATAACATATTAGAGATGATGGTATTTAATTTATGCTGTTAACATGTAACATTTTATAAACTAGAAACGTATTTGTTTAATTTTTATTCACCTGTGAGAGACTTGGTACATTTAAATAATAGACACATTAGATAATAGCAACATACTCAAATAGTCACAGGCAACCTAATGATTCAGGGACATTTCTGCGATGTTTCTAAATATTAAATGCCAGAAAGGGCAGTATATTGCTGGTTTTATGAAAATGGGCATTGGTCAATTTACTTTTGCACTGTGATGGTATCCTGCTAATATTTCCACTACCTGGTGCTTATTAAACCCGTATATAAAGATTAGACGACGTAGATATTACTAACTTTAAGAGAACTGCTGAATTCTGAAATACTTTCATTTTAGAAGAAGAAAGACTTGGTGTGCCCTCTAGTGGACATATTTAGCATTCTGGTTATCAAAAGCTAGGTGATTTTTACTCTTCTTCCAAAATGAAGCCCTCGTGACACTTTGAATCTTACAGCCTTGAAGCATAGATTGTGCTCACATCACATCTCATGTAATGCTTCAGTTGTGTTGTAATGTTATCTGATTGTATTTTGTCAAGTCATACTGAAAGTGACCAAAATCATCAGTGTCTAATCAGGACTTAAGATTCGTTAAGGCAAAACTTTAACAGTAAGAGAAACCCAAGCACACAAATTATTAATCTTTATTATATGTATTTTTTCTGAAAGAATATAAAACAATCATTTTTGTCCTTCTGTGTGCTAATATATAATTTCAAAGCTTTATACATTTTAATTTCTTTTTCTTTTTTCCTACAGAAAAATCCAAGACCAGTGACTTATCAATTCCATCCAAATTTAGATTACTACAAAGCACGGGGAGCAGACCTCATGAATAAAAGCCGGTAAGTCCTCCTTCTCTGATGAAAGTTGTGAGTCACAAAGGTATTCTCAGAAATCATCAGGAAGTTTACATATTTGCTGAAAATAATTTCCCCAATTTTAGCATATCAATGGTTAATGTATGTAATGTAATGAATCTTTATTTAATAAATTTTCAGATTTCTTTTTAAGACATAAAAAAATAATATATTGCTGTCAGTAGTAAGATGAAAAGCTAAATAAATATAAGAATACTTGCTACAGCTTGAAGTTAGGAAACTTCATTTTTCTAACACTAATAAACCTGAATAAATTGTGCCTACTTGTATAATCTCTTTCTAGATCCTTGCTGTTGATTGAAAAGAAGCAGTTCTATAATATATTTTTAAATTATTTCAGTAACAAAATTAAAATTGGGTTTCCCAACTGTCTTAGAACTACATAATAAGATTATAAATGCATCTTGTGTGCACATTTGTGATTATATACATAGAAATTTTAAGGGTCACTGTAGGAATAAAAAACATTAAAACCCTACTTTTAAAAGAAATTAACATTGGCATAAAGGGTTGATGAACAGTTTTGTTCTTTCATAATACTGTACTCAGATGTCTCAAGAGTTAACTTGTCAAACCAGAACCATCTCAAATTAGAATGTAATTTCAAAGTTTACTCTGGAAGACTAAAATGTTAGTGAGGATAAATGCTGCCAAGTTGTCCGAATTTTCTTCCTTAAGCCTACGTGCTAGCTTTTCTTCAGCAGGATTCCAACAACCTAAATATACATTTAAGCAATACACATACATGATATGGTCTGCTCTTATTTGGAGAGTTAAAAAGAAGACTAATTCCTGCCATATAGAAACTCATGATCTGAGGGGTGAAAAGAAGTTGACAAGGAAGTGGCTAAACTTAAATTTGTATCTTGAACCCTGTTTTAGTGTGCTGTTATTTTCAAATTACCCATCCTCGGTGGACACCCCTCTGGCTCTGATGGGCTGTGGGGTCAGGAGGCCAGTGCCATGGCCTGTGCGGCTCCTCTGAGGCTCTCTAATGTTTGTTCATTTCATCTGATTTTTGTTTCACAAATAAAAGGCTATTCCCTATAGTCACTTGGTTCATTTAATTTAACAACTATTTGAGTGCCAGACTCTCCTTATTCTAGTCATTAGTGATACACAGTGAACAAACCAAACAAAAATCCCTGCCCTCAGGAGTCTTACAGTCCAGCCACTTATATTCCCTCACCGTCGTGTCAAGTATTTAGCTGGGTTATGTTTATAAGAACAAGGTATTTTAGGTACTTTCTTCATACTAGAGCTTCCTAGCCAGAGTCCCTTCTCTCCCACTTCTCCCTCCCCGCCGCTGCCACCACCAGATTAGTTTTCACACAACAGCCCAGGAGCTCTCAGTTGACAGCGACTCTGTCACACCCCCACACGGAACTCAGCCAGCTTCCTGCACTGCTTCCTGTCCCTCTGCCCTTCTGCCCTGCTTCTCTGCCTGCTCTTAACTCCCATGCTCGCACCTCCTCTTCCCTCTCCTACTTCAGCTTCTCTGGTACTTGCGTGATTTAGGGCTCAGCCCTAACATCTCGGAGAGGCCACTCTTGACCTCCCTGTTTTCACTTCTCCTCACTGTCTGCGTGCTGTCCCATCTTATCTCTGCAGCATTCATTACTAACTGAGGTTAGCTGCTTCATTTATGTATGTGGCGTCTGTCTCTCCAGCTTCCTTGCTAGAATCTAAGCCTCGGAAAGCAGGCACTTTGCCTTACTCACCCTTTAAGCACACCTAGGACAGTGCCTGGCATGGAAAGTTACTCAGCAGATATGTGTTATATGTATACATGTATTATCTATCTACATTTTTAACATCTTTTTCATTTTCAAAAAAAGAAAATGAACTGTATTCTTCCTTTTCCCCCTTCATGTTTTATTTTCTATTTTCTGCTTTCTGTTCCTGCATTTTTCTTCTCAGAAGTGTTGATTCTGTTTTACAAATTTCCTTATAAGCACATTGAAGGAAGGTTTTTAATCCTATTACAGTTTCAAAGCTTAAAATTGAAATTGAACCAAATGAAACATAGTGTGTGAAGAAGACATCACAGTCCAGAAAGCAAGGGAAGAGTTAATAATGATGTTAGGAGATTTTACAGATCTTTCAGGAAGGTATCACCTTACAACTTTTCCGCATGCCAAATGAATTCCAAGTGACTCAAAGTGCACTGGGACAAGCAAACAGAGAAATAAAATACAAGTCTGACCTCTAGTTATTGGAAGACTTTCTAACCTTATAAGTAATGGAAATCACAAAGAGAAAAACTACTGGATTTTTTACACATTATTTTTTTTATTAAGGTATCAATGATATACAACCTTATGAAGGTTCCACATGAGCAACATTGTGGTTACTACATTCACCCATATTGTCAAGCCTGCCCCCCATTGCAGTCACTGTCCATCAGCGTACTAAGATGCTATAGAGTCTTGGCACACATGGTTTGATGGTGCCAGGAAGACAAGTAGTGACTCCGTGACACTGTGAAACCTTCATAAGAGTGTGTATCAATGATGCCTTAATAAGAAAAAAATGCTATAGAGCCACTTCTTGTCTTCTCTGTGCTATACTGCCTTCCCCATATTATACATTATTTTTAAGTAGATATGTAAAAAATCAAAAGGCAAACAGAAAATTGGGAAAATATTTGTAGAGGAAATAACTGATAAACTATGATGTCATTAATACATAAAGAACTTAGGCAGTTCAGTAAGAAACGCAGGACCCGTCTCAGTGGCCGTCCGTCTCACACCATGCTGTACCGGATCCGCCTGCAGAGGTAGGACACCCTCCAGGCTTCTGTACTTCCCAGTACTCATTCCCTGCAGAATCTCAACCCAGGTCTGTGGCTTTAAATACCATTTATGACTGAAGGGTCCTTAACTGCTATCTTCCATTTGAGCCCTTCTCTTGAACTCCAGACTCATACTGAACAGTTCCTCTCAGATGTCCCACCTGCATCTCAAACTTTATACATTCCCAAGTAAACTCTTGAATCTACCTCTTGATAAACCTATTGTTCCCGTAGTGTTTCTCCATCACAATAAATAGCATGACCTAGTTGATCAAGTCTTAGAATTGCCCTTGACCTGTCCTTTTCTCATCGATACACATATGAAGACCATCAGCAAATCCTCTTCAAAATATATCCTGAAACAAACTGGTTTTCTCTCTCTGTGCTGCTGATCCTGAGTCCCCACATCATTGCTGTCACTACCAGTGTCCTGACTAGTCTCCCCGTGTCCTCTCCTGTCCTTACAGACGCTTTCCACATAGCCTTTAGATTAACGTAAGTCTGATCACATCGCTTCACTGCTCAGAGCCCTTCCACGACCTCCCAGAACACTCAGGATAAAACCCAAAGCTTTTTTAATGGTCTGCAAAGCAGGCCTCGCCAGTGTGGCCTCCTCTCTCTGTGACCTCCAGCTGCTGCTGCCACGCTTCCGCATTTTTCAGTGGTCTCCAGCCCCGCTGGCTGCTTACTGCTCCTCAGCAGGTCCCACCTCAGGAGCTTTGCTCCTGCCTCTCCCGCCCCGGGAGTCTCCCCCAGGGATCCGCATCATTAGTCGTACTCAGTCCATCTTCACCTCTCTCCAGAGTACTTCCCTTGACTACCTTATCTAAAATAATGGGCCCCTTTACTCTCTCCCCTTGCTTTGTTATCATTATTGTTTTTGTTTTTTATAGCAATTCTTGCTACATGAAGTGGTATTTTTATCTTTCAAGAAAATTTATTAGGGTTCTTTGTTGGTTTTTACTGTTTGTTTCTTACATGAAAGTGTAAACTCTTCAAGTTCGCCTTGTTAACTGTTGTACCCACAGTGCCTAAAGTAGTGCCTAGAATATAGTAGGCACTCAATGAAAGAAGTGCAGACAGCAAATAAACATTGAAAAGGCTGTTCACACTCCTAATTAGCCAAAGAATTGCAAATTAAAACACCAATAAAGTACCATTTTAACCTTTCAAATTAGCAAATTAAAAATAAATGAGCCAGAGATGAGTAAGTTCTAGAGATCAGAGTTTAGTACCCATAGTCAATACTCTGCTTAGCTTTGCTAAGATCTTATTTAAGTGATCTTATCAGAAAATGTAAAATAAATAAAAATGATCATAAATAAAGAGGGCAGGAGGAAACTGTTGGGGTGGGTGGGCATGTTTATGGCATAACTGTGGTGATGGTTCCACAGATGTGTGCTTATCTCCAGACTCATCAAGTTGTGCACATTAACTATGTACAGCTGTTTGGATGTCAATCACACCTCATTAGAGTGGCTTTAAATGCATGAGTGAATGATCGGATGAGCAAGCAGGCAGGCCCACACTGGAGAAGGTGCATGGATATCCTTAGCCACCAGTTGAGGGAGTATAAATTGAGACAAACTTGAAAACCTTGCCAGAGAATTCTTCCAGTTCTGTTTGTAGCCCTACAACCACCACGCTATTCCTGGGTGGTTTGTTTATCATGTCACTGCTTTATCTGTCACCAAAAACCACTGTAGCTGGGAAACCATTAGTAAAGTCCCCATGTAGTTATTTAAGGCTGAAGGTGCTTTTACCAGGCTGAGCTCATTCAGCCCTCCAACCACTTTCTTAGCCTTTAGAGCCTATGAAAGAGTTAATTGCAGCTGTCATTGAGAAGCAAGACAGGGGTGGGAATGATCCTGAGGAGATACACATACTCATTAGGGAACCTCCAGCAGTAATCAGTAAGCAAAGGGCAGACAAGAGGCAGGCAGACACCTGAAAAGCAGAGAAACGATACCTGCTCCCATCTATGGCAGTGGACTTCTATTTGTGTTGCTTGTCCAAATAAAGGAAGAGGATGCAAAGATGACATGTGATTTCATGGATAAGAATATCTCTAGAAATCAAGCCTGATTTCTCTTCTCTGCTTTACCATGCATGGATTGCTATAATTAAGTCTTTAAATGCAAGTGCCTAGGTATTTTAGTGGTAAATTTTC